AAGCAGTCGGGTGTATGCTTGGGTGTGGGACAGGTGTCCAGACTGGGGAGACAAATGCCAGAGTTGCCAGCATACAGGTGAAATTTTAAACATGACATTTCATGAAATTATCAAGGGAGTGAGACTATACAGAAGGGTTCGAGGACTGAGCCTATAGGAGAAATGAGGAAGAATTAGCAAGGGACCCTCGATTAGCAAAGAATCAGGCTTTGAGACAGGGGAAAAGCCAGAGTATGTGATGTAGTAAAATCCAAGTGGAGAACAGGTTTCGCTGAGAAGGGAATGGCTACTGTGGCAAATGCTGCTGAGGGTTCAGGTAAGGTGAGAACTGAGATGTTTAGTAACGTGGAGATACCACAAGCAACTTGGCAAGAACAGTTCCAGTGGAACCACTGTTGGTTCATTGGAGTGTGTTCAAGAGAGGATCAAGGAACAGGAATTGAAGAAAACAAAGTTTGGCAATTCTAGAGGAATTTTGTTGTAAAAGGTTTCAGAAAAATGCAATAATGGCTAGAAAAGGAATTGGAATCAAAAGAAGTTTTGTTTTGCTTTGTTTTTAAGCTAGTGTACACATAGCAGCATGTTCATACACTGATTGGGGTGATCTGGCAGAGAGGGGTATTGATGATTGTGGAAATGAGTGTGGAAAGGTGCTGTTGAGCAGTGAGAGGGGAAGAGGGCTGGTGAACAGGTGGAGGAGTTGGCCTTGCAGAGGCAGGTGCGAGTAGGTGGTACAAATGCTGGGAATTGGGCAGAGAAGGTGCCGAGAGATTGTGTGGGTTCTGTTCTGATTGCTTCTTTTTTCCCAGTGGAGTAGGAAGAAGAGTCATCAACAGAGTATAAGAATGGGGAAGGAGGTATTCAAAGTTTGAGAAGGGAAAATAAAAAAAGACATAATAATTTAAAAGAGAAAATCCTAAGGGACTAGGAAGATGGGGTGTGATGCTGACCAGCCTTAGGGCCCCCTTTAGGCTGAAGGACAAGGACCGAAAGGAGTGCGGTCAGCATGGCCATGCACCTCCTCAGCCCCGGCAGTCACACCGGGTCAGGCCTCAGAGTGGTGGAGAATAGCACTTAACTAGGGTTGGTGTTTTGTCAGGTAAGAGGGACAACAGAGATGAACACACGTGCAAGGGGTGTTTTTAGTGACTGAACGTGAAATGTGTACAGTGTAAGAAGAAAGGTGAGGGCATGAACGGGTTAAGGAACATGAAAGTGAGGTAGAATCCAGGTTCAAGGGTACTTGAGAGAGTGAATGAACCAGTTCGGAGGAATTAATTAGGCAGTGGGATACTTGAAATTGAGATTATGAAGCTATTGAGTAATGGTAGAATTTAAGTTATACAATGGGAATAAATCTCTGAGATTGGATAGAAGATAAAATTATTGAAGGACAGATCAAATTTTGATAGGCCAAGAATCTGTATTAAATAACTGATTTTGACATGGGTGGTCCAAGGACTGTGTTTTGAGGAACTCTAGTTTTAGGTAGAGTTGACTAGCTAAGCATAAAAGTTTAGAGTGAAATCAGAAAACACGAGGGAGCTGGAAGAAACAGGATGATTATTTACAGAATGTTGTGTGTTGAGTGTGCTGGACACGGTGTCAAATGGTTTACACACATCTTTTTATTTGTTCCTGGCAACAACACTGAATTCTAGAGACCACTATCACCTCTATTTCACAAATGATGAACATGAGGGGCAGGGAGGTTAGATAGCATGCCCAAGGATAACTCTGAGTCCAGACTTTGAGCTCTTAGCCATTATGTCCATCTGCCTTGATAGATGCAATGATTATGATAGAGCAGGTAATATTAAAATCCACATCCTGAGATGTGATTACCAGATTTATGGGATTAGAGACTCTTGAGAACAATATTGTATACAAAGCCCAGTAATATACATGATCTCATCTAATCCTCATATTAATCCTGTGTATTAAGTAATTTGCTGGATCACAGGGCCAGTAATTAGCAGAGCTGGATGTGAAAGCATGTCTTCTGACCTCTTGCTCACATACTCCTTCCACTAACTAGGGGTTGCCATTACTTTCCAGAGATGGTTGAGACAGCAACTTTAAAGAGACTCTGAACAGTTTTGAATAAATGTATTAATAAGGAAACCATTGCTAGTTATTTCATTTTAGAACCTAACAGAAAAAGTCTCATAATTCCTGTGTTTCCATGGGAACATTTGTCAGCACAGAATGCAGCATTCTTCCTATCATGGAATGTTTTTTCTATAAATCCATGCATTCACTGGAACAATATTTATTGAGCAAATAGTCTGTGCACGAGCTGTGTTAGGTGCAGAGGATATAACTGAATAAGAAACATCCTGTTCTCATGGAGCCTGCAGTCAGCTATAGGTCTGCAGCACCTCACATACTCTGCAGGGCCCTTTCACGTCTGGTGCAATTTAAGGCACTGCATTTGACCTAGAATACACTCTATCCCTTAGGACCCAGTTACCTAAGAGATCATTCCTCTCCCTAATGGTTTGGCACAGAGTAGATCAGCAGTACTGCCCTGGAGATGGAATCTTAAGTTTGAACTCTGGGGAAACAGAACCAAGGTGTTTTCCAAAATCGGATTTTCCTACTCTAAGAGGACCTAATTTTAAAGCTGGATTTAGGAATACACCCTTTTGCCTGTCATTCTCAGTAGCTCAGTGGTACTGTGTTGCTCCTCAGCTACCACTTGGCCAGGTCTTTTGCTAGAAATATTGGATTTGTGCATGCCATATGTCTTAGTCCATTTTGCATTGCTGTAAACGAATACCTATGACAGGGTAATTTATAAAGAAAAGAGGTTTATTTGGCTTATAGTTTTGCAGGCTTTCCAAGCACAATCCCGGCATCTGATTCTGGTAAGGGCTTCAGGGAGCTTCCAATCAAGGTAGAAGGCAAAAGGGGTATAGGTGTGTCACATGGCAAGAGGAGCAAGAGAGAGAGGAAAGGGGTGCCAGGCTCTTTTAAACAACCAGCTGTCACATGAACTAGTAGAGCAGAACTCACCTATTACTGTAGAGAGGGCACCTAGCCATTCACGAGGGGTCTGCCCCAATGAGCCAAACACCTCTCACCGAGCCCCACCTCCAACACTAGGGACGAAATTTCAACATGAGATTTGGAGGGGACAAATATCCAAACTATATCACCATTTGTAGGCTCTGTGGCCCAACAAGCTCTTACCAGAATGTCAGGCAAAGGCCAAGTAAGTCAGGGCCCTGGCTGTGTGGATAAAGGACAATGCATCCAGAAGACGGGCAAATTACATTTTGTCCAGCCTGGTGCTGAAAGAGCTGATGAGCTGTATCACAAGATGAGCGCGGCGGCTATTTCCACGTGCAGAGAGATATTCGTGCACTTCTACATGATAATGTTGCTGATTAAGAATGGCACTTACACCGGCTCCAACTCACCTGGCACCTAGCGCAGGAAAGCAGGGCGGTTTGGGGTGTTGTGTTAGCCTCCAGATTTAGAAGATTCCAACTGGTGCTCTTAGTGGCAGTGTAGCGCTTGTTGCCTCACTTCCCTCTGGTCTTAAAATATGTGAGTCACAGTATAATTTAAGAATTACACTCTCTGTCTCTTACATTTGCAAAAGTTTAGTGAGACAAATCAAAGCTTAAATTTTCTTATTAAAAACAAAATGAAGATCCTATACTTTTTAAAACCGCAACATATTTTGTATTCTCCTTGAACCACTCCGATCACAGATTTAATTTATTCCAGTCATCATTTCTGGAGTTGTGGGACCACACAGCCAGTTTTCAACCCCTACAGCTTTAAGAGAAGCTAATTCTAATTTTGGAGTAGAGGAGGTGGCGCCAGTTCCCAGCTCCCCGGCTCCCGCCCGCGGGCAGGGGGCGGGGCCGGTACTCAGTTTCCCGCGGCTGCTAGCCTCGCCGGCGGTCCCGAGTGCTGCAAGCCACCGCCGGGGATGCGGGGCTGCCCACCTGCCGGGCCGCCTGGCTGCCGCTCCTCTCGGCTCGGTCGCTGAGGGACACGAGCCAGGGGGCGTGGGCCCGGGCCACTGAGGGCCCGAGCGTCTCCTCCCATTTCTGAGCCGGGGCGGTCCCGCCCGCCGGAGAATCCCGGAGCCCTCGGGACACCCGCTGCTTCCCCCGAGGGCGCGGGCTCGGGGCTCCCGACGGCGCCGCGCGCTCTGCACTGCCCGCGCGGCCCGTGCTCGGGCGGGCGCCCTTTCCCTCCCGCTGCAGGCCGGGCACGCCCACTGCCGCTGCCGGCACGCGGCGCCGCCGTCCGAGTTAAAGCGCTTCTCTGCACACTCGCCCGCCCGGCCGCACCCAGCCCGTGTCAGGTACCCGCGGCGCCGAATACAAAGAGGCCCGCGCCGCTCCGGCCGTCGCCGCCGCCACACCCGCCCGTGCCCACTCTCCTCCGTCCTCCGCGGGGCCGGCCGCGGGGGACCCTCCTCTCGGCGCGCCTGCCCTCCCCCAGTGTCGCTCAAACCCACCCAGCGTTCCCCGAAATCCCGGGAGCCGGGCCCTCCACGGCCGCCTGCTAGCCCCGCGGCCGCGCCCCCGGCCCCGGGACGGCCAGGCCGCGCCCCCAGCCCGCCGCTCCCCCCAGTCCCAGCCCCTCCTCCGGGCCCTCCTCCTCCTCGCCCCTCCCGAGCCAGGGTGGGAGCGGCGGCAGCTGGAGGAGAAGGGATGAGGTCATCCTCTCCCTCGGAGTCAGCTGGTGGAGGAGAGGCAGCGGGAGGAGGCGCGCGCGCGGGGAGGAGAGGAATGTGCAGGTCCGGGCAGCGCCGCGGCGGCCGCTGCTGCTCCTGCTGCTGGCGGCGGCGGCTCGGGCGGCAGCCGCGGGCCCGGGGAGACGAGCAGCGCGGGAGGCGGGCAGGGGCGCGCGCGGGGCGCGCGAGCAGCTTGGCTCGCGCAGGCAGCCAGGCGGCGCTCCTGCCGGCCGGGCGCGCGCTAGCCCGGCCACAGCGCCAGCCCGCGGCGCGCGCGGCGGCGGCAGGGCCAGGAGCGGGGAGCCGCGCCGCCGGGGGAGGCCGGGGCGCGGCGAGGAGGTGGCGGGAGGAGGAGACAGCGGGGAAAGGTGTCAGATAAAGGAGGGCGCTCCTCCGGTTCGGAGGCATCATGGCCGCTAAGTCAGACGGGAGGCTGAAGATGAAGAAGAGCAGCGACGTGGCGTTCACCCCGCTGCAGAACTCGGACCACTCGGGCTCGGTGCAGGGGCTGGCTCCGGGCTTGCCGTCGGGGTCGGGGGCCGAGGACGAGGAGGCGGCCGGGGGCGGCTGCTGCCCGGACGGCGGCGGCTGCTCGCGCTGCTGCTGCTGCGCGCCGGACGGCCTCCGGCGCGGGCGGCCCGGGCGGCGGCGGCGGGGCGGGCTCCGCGGCGCTGTGCCTGCGCCTGGGCAGGGAGCAGCGGCGCTACGCGCTGTGGGACTGCCTCTGGATCCTGGCCGCCGTGGCTGTGTACTTCGCGGACGTGGGCACGGACATCTGGCTCGCCGTGGACTACTACCTGCGCGGCCAGCGCTGGTGGTTTGGGCTCACTCTCTTCTTCGTGGTGCTGGGCTCCCTCTCCGTGCAAGTGTTCAGCTTCCGCTGGTTTGTGCACGATTTCAGCACCGAGGACAGCGCCACGGCCGCCGCAGCCAGCTGCCCGCAGCCTGGAGCCGATTGCAAGACAGTGGTCAGCGGAGGGTCTGCAGCCGGGGAAGGCGAGGCTCGTCCTTCCACGCCGCAAAGGCAAGCATCCAACGCCAGCAAGAGCAACATCACCGCCACCAACAGCGGCAGCAACAGCAGCGGGGTCACCCGGGCCAGCGGCAAACACAGGTCTGCGTCCTGCTCCTTCTGCATCTGGCTCCTGCAGTCACTCATCCACATCTTGCAGCTCGGGCAAATTTGGAGGTACCGTATCAGGGGTGGGGGAAGAGGGAGATTTGCTACTGCTACTACATCCCCACTGCTTTGCTTTGCACGAAAATTGTTCAGAGTTGCTGTGGTAGTAACCCTAGTCACACTCAGTTGTTGTTGCTTTTTTTTTTTTTAATTGGGGTTTGCATTTTTAAAATTTGAGATCTCAGCCTAGGGTGGGAGGGAAGTGAGAAGCAAGGGAAGTACAGCAAATTGGGTTTGATCACCTTATCCTTCGGTCTTCCCACTCCGCCTCACTAGCTTCTCCCTCTTTCTATGCTACAACCCTCCCCTCCCCATTTTTAGTGATATTTAGTCTGAGTAGGAGAGGATTCCTGTCACATCTTCTAAAAATCTTTTTTTATTTTGTTGAATTTGAGGTGCGTATTGCAATTTGGATGGTTTCTTTTTTTCTCCCTGGGAAAAATTGCTAATTCTAGTTGGATGGGAGTTTTTGTTGTTTAGAAGTACCCTCATTTTAATAATCACTGCTAGAGAAGTACTATATTCAAAGTAAAGAGCTTAGTAGGGACATGACTTGTCTCATATGTGTATCTCCAAGCATGAGTAAGTACATGTTTTGGTATCCAGACTTACGTTTATAGTACACATTCTGATTTTCTTGCAATATCCTCATATCTAATTTCTCATATAACTAAGAACCTTTTGAAAAGGTGTGTCGTGTAAACTTTAATCATACTTGGTATCTTCATTGGCTTTGCTACTTGTCATCTTATCTGCCAAGTGTTTTTTACACAGATAGCGCTTACACTTACAAACAGGGATACAAGGCTAAACTTGTTGGGCAGAGGGAAGCCATTACTCCAACAGTCACTGCATGAACTTGGGAACATAATTAAGTAGTATGCTCAGGAATATGTCCTTTTGACTTTTATATGTTTTTAGTAGCTTTTTGAAGCAATATTTTAGGTCTACAAAACCTATTTGTATGGAAGTATATAAATTCTAACATCTCAGAGCCTTTTTGGTTTTAAAATGACTTAGTAAATATGTAGGTATAAGTAAAATGAGGAAACTTCATAGAAAGTGCACTAAGAAGGGACTACACTCTGCTATATCAGTGTTCTTTATCAATTTCATTTGTAATTATTTTTGTGCTAAAATACATTGTAAATCATTGACTATACTGAAGTGTCCCATGTGGAAACAACTCAGAGAATTTTTGAAATAGAACCACAAACTTCTTTTTGTTTACAGTGGACAACAGTGTTTTCAACTGAGAAACACAAGTATGATGATTTCACAACTTTTCCTAGGATAATGCTTTGTAAAGCGGGGTGAGAATTGCCATAGACAGTAACCTTTCAGATTGGGAAACTTTTTCTTTTTTTCAAGCAGATACTCTCTTGGAAAGTGATATATGATATGCAGTCAGACAAATTGATGTTGGACACCTCCATATTTTGGACTCAAAAGGATGTTTTGAAATGTCAGTTAACTGTGATAGCTATATTTTCCATGGATGACTATCGGGAAAACTTACAGATTGATGTTCTTCTTCAAGTATGATGAAGAACTTAAATGTTTGATTTAGTTTCTGAAATTATTTAGTGGTTAGGATGCATATGGTTAGCATTTGTAATCTGATAATATGGTCAACGAAGCTTAACACTCCATTATTAACTTTTTCAAACTTTATACAAAATTTGGATATGACTTGCTTTTAATCACCTCTAAAGTTTTTAGATTTATGTAAACAATGCGAACACTTCTCAATTCTATTGAATTGAGAATAACTGAATAACTATATTGAATAACTATACATGTTTCCTACAGATTGATACTTTATGAAAAATCTGATATCAAATTCTGTGACCTGAAGAAGTCGTTTATTTTAATTATAGTTGCATTTACTAGATCTTCTAAGCCAAACATTTTCCCAGATGAAAAATGATGCTTAATTTTCTCAAGAATTAAGATGTAGATAGACAGTGAGAAAGAATTAGGAAAAGATAAAGGCTTAAAAATGTCTCAGAGAGACCACAGCCACTTGGTCAACTGGTCATACAAAAAAGTTATCAAGGGAGAGGTTGGATGAAAGGGTAAGGTTGAATGTAAAAAGAAAACCACAGCTGTCAGACAAATGCATTAACTAACCCAACCCTTAGAGAAACTGTGGTCACACATGGCTGCTTTTAGTAAAGCATTTCTACAGTACTTTCCTTAGAGGCTTTAAAGTTTAGTATGGTGATGCATGATTATCTGGAAGTAATGCTGTTGGAAATATCAGATGTTTGTCAACATTTTCAGATTAATGTGTTTAGTATGTAAATCTGAATTATTATCTAATCTATTTTAGGTATTTAGGTATTATCTAATATTATCTAGTATTATCTAGTATTTAGGTATTATCTAATCTATTTAAGGTATTTATCAAGTATTTTTTAAAAATCACTTTAGCCTAATGTAGGAAATTGAAAAGAGATAAGAAAACTTACAGAATTTAACACTCAGATAGATGCCTGCTAATAATGTTCCAATTTCTCTAAGCATTGAACATTTGAATGGAACTTTGGGGAGTAAATACATCTTTGATAATAAGCTAGTGAAATACAACTCATCTCAGATTATTGTATTAGATCTGTATCCTAGACCACTATGATTCCTTAAATTAGAATCATCCCTCTTCCTCTTCTGGCTTTTCTTTTCAATGCATTGTACACAAATACTGTAGAAATACCAGGGTACTGAGTGGTTCAAAGCCCAGAGGTCATTATTCATGTTTTAACATGCTACTTCTGGAATCAATAAAATAGATTTTAGCTAGGTTGGTAACTGTTCATTGTATTTCCATGCAATTCTAGTTATTTTAGGGAAGGGCTAGATTCTAAAAGCTTTCTGTAGATAAATCTTTTGAAATAACATCAAAGTGTTTATTTGTTCAGAAATAGCCATTTGAATTATTGTGAACAAGATTTGAGTGTATTTATACATGTATTACAAATGCAACTGCTAAAAGCGATGATATGTATTCATTTTAATTAAAGTTTACTAATGGGAAATTAATGGCAGCTTTTAAAGTCGCAGGAGGTGATGCTAGGAAAGAGCCATTTGAAATAATGAAGTGAACCTTTGCTATTATGTGAAAAGAGCAATTACGACTTTAAAGACACCCTGCCTGTGAATGAATGAGAAAGTACTTTTCTTTCTTATTCTTTTCATATGATTCCAGAAAATACTCAGAGTGCAGTTCAGCCAATGGGAATCACAAATGCTTAATGAGAACAGTTTTTAGTCCTCATATCCATGATCAGTTACATCTAAATGTCTTTCCTTCAGAATTTGTAAGATTTACTCTTAGAATTTTACCTGAAATTCTCCTGAATATGTATGCATATATTTATTTGTTTTCTGGACAACATGGACGTTGCAAACAATAAGTCAATGGATGGTAGAGTGGGGAGTGTTTTCACTATTTTTCTGTTGTGGGGTTTTGTTTCTGAGTCTCTATCATGAGAGTGATGTGGAAAAGACATGGTGAAGATGCAGTTTGTTTTCTATTGTCATGTTCAGTATTTCATAAGATATTGAGTGTGTTCCATGTTCAAATAGATTGGGAAAATGATAGGTTAAACAGATCTCTCTACAGTAGGACTTCTCAGAGCCTTTAATAAGCTAATGTACAGTTGCCAGTAAGTTTTTTAAAGGCACGTATATTAAATACTCTTGTAATGATATGGCATACAAAGCACTTTGAGAAACACGCCTTTCTTAAACCCAGACAAATAATAATGATAATTTTATTAAGCACTTTAAAAATCTGTAAATGTTCTTATGCTTTTTATCTCTTCTAAGTTTTATAGTAACCTAAGAGAAAATTATTAGTATCTTTATATATGTGAGAAAATTGGCTCAGAGAGTTTAAGTAACTGGTACAGCAGGCCACCCAATTATTAGGTGGTGTAGCTAGGATTCAAAACGTGGCATATCTTACCATAAAGCCTATGCTATGCTTTTTCTGGCTCAATTGGCTACCTGCAACTTCGATAGTAATGAAAACTTGGATAATAATGACAACAATGTATAAAAATAACAACTTACTATAACTGGAGATGGTAAAATGGGAAAGGGAGTGGCAGTAGACAGATTGGGAGATCTTTCCAGTAACACACCAGTAATTAAGTGATAAACGGGAGACTTGACCTCAGATTGTTCAACTCTCAGTTCAGTGTTCTTCTTGTTGGACTCTGTAGACATACTGAGGTGGTTGTACTAAATCACAGCTAAGTAACATATTCATGTAGTAGTTTTAATGATTAAATGGTATAATGTATGTGACCATGCAAAAAGTTACTTGCAAATGATAACAAGTTCTAGATAATCAGGAATAGGTAAAAAAGAGAGACAATATAGGTTATACCTTCTACTATTGAAAAGGAGCTTTATTGATTCTGAGTTGCTCCTGAATTCTAATATAGGTCAGGCAAGATTGGTGCTATTTGGTGAGTTTATTGAATAACTATTTTCTGTATATTTGTGTTTCTTCTCTTTGCGTATTAATTACTTTATTCATTCAACATATAGGGAGCACGTACTATATACAAGACACTGTGTTAGTTACTAATTATCCCAAGCTGGGTAAAACATACATCTTTTGAAGGCATCTACTGTCTAGTGAGGAAGACATAAAAGTAAATTATTTCAGTACCAGGAAATAAGCGCTATGATAGCAACAGGAAACACAAACCACCTTAGTTCAGGTAAGACTCTCTGGAAGAGGAGATGTCTGAGCAATTTGAACAATAAGAAAAATCTGCTATTTGAATAAAGTGGAACATTGGCTTTAGAGCCTTGGATACAATGCATAAAGGCTAGAGGGGCAAGAAAGAAGAAGGCAAGTTAAGTGTGTGCTCTACATACAAAGTAAGGGAGACTAGCTACAGATGAGGATGCAGAATTACTTGGGCTAGATAAAGAATCTAATTCAGATTTTATTCTGAAGGCATGGAGGGGCCATTGAAGGATTATAAGGG